CTATGTTTTTGTGGAACCATTGGGGTAGACTGACTTGAGAGACCGATGAAGCCAGAAAAGTGCATGAGGTACAAGTGCATGAGGTACCTCACCCTTTCTTCGTAGGACAAGGCGGCTGGATGGATACTAACAACCATCACCGCTGCAGAAACAAACAACAATATAACTCTACTCACAGATGTGCACGCAGTTATTCTTCACTGGTAGTGGACGGATCCCTCAGGGCAGAAGATCTATTACGATACGCAGGACGGCGGTGGCGACTGACAGAGCCAAAACTCCAGAGATGAGCTTGATGGCGGCTTTACGGACCCATGGTCTGTCGATCCCAACAAAGGGTGCAATGAGACAGATCACAAGGATGATGTCGAAGCCGTAAGTAGTGTCGACAGCCAAGTGGTAGAGCTTGAACGCAAGCTCATGGCCCTGGTTACGGGTGGTAGGGCCACCCGTAAACACGGCCATGAGCTGCAGCACCACCGGCAGGACCTTCTCCAAGAGACTTGCTGGGGGATCATCAGTAGAAGGAGGAGGAGGAGGAGGTGGCAGCTGCGCTTCCGGATCGACTTGAGAAGCTGGTGTTGGTTCTCCAGTGTCGGAAAAGATAGCAGCCAAAGGGCTGGGCTGCAGCACCACCTGCACGACCTTCTCCAAGAAGCTTGCTGGGGGATCATCAGTAGGAGGAGGAGGAGGAGGTGGTGGCAGCTGCGCTTCCGGATCGACTTGAGAAGCTGGTGTTGGTTCTCCAGTGTCGGAAAAGATAGCAGCCAAAGGGCTGGGCTGCAGCACCACCTGCACGACCTTCTCCAAGAAGCTTGCTGGGGGATCATCAGTAGGAGGAGGAGGAGGAGGTGGTGGCAGCTGCGCTTCCGGATCGACTTGAGAAGCTGGTGTTGGTTCTCCAGTGTCGGAAAAGATAGCAGCCAAAGGGCTGGGCTGCAGCACCACCTGCACGACCTTTTCCATGAACCTTGCTGGGGGATCATCAGTAGAGAACCAAATGTTTATAGAGAAAAGGTATCAAGGCTTGCCCACCAAAGTGACGTGGCTCCGCGGTCAAACTCACTCGTCAATGTGGTATGAGTTGTTATTTTAGAGAAGACTTATTGTAAACCAGTGATAGTGAAAGTTATTTTAGAGAAGACTTATTGTAAACCAGTGATAGTGAAAGTTATGAACTACGATCTTTGATCTCATTTTATGATTGATTTATTATTCTACTGTTTATATTGGTTGATATATGCTTTTGATATCAAGTTAATATTTTGATAAATAACTTAGATATACAAAGAGAGAAAAAAAATTATTCCGCTATAATAGATTTTTCTCAACATATACTTATCACGTACTCTTCTGAAAAAATGAGCTTAATAATAATATACTTATTACATACTCCCCGTAAGAAATGAGTCAAGACAAAAAATTAAATTTAATAATAATATATTTATCACATACTCTCTCGAATAGATGACATTATTTAGCGCATTCCCTCACCCGAAAGTGATATTATTTAGAATAAGAATACCCCACCCTCGCCCCCCAAAAGTCACGACGAAATTTTGAATGCAGAAGTCTATACTATATGTTGGCTAGTTTACTCTTATAAATATACTATATGTTTACTCTTATAAATATACTATATGTTGGCTAGTTTTATTATTTCAAAACTCACAGCGCTTTATTGATTTGTTCTCAAAACTACATAATTTTTTATTTTTAAAAATTTAATTTCAACTAAGATGTTTTCTCAAATAAGTCTTATATTGCTGCTTTAAATCTTTTTATAATTTGATTATTGATTTTTATTATAATTAAATAAATTATGCATAGGTTCATATTAATTTGATATTACTTAGTATATGCATATGTATATGTTTGTTGTTTGGCATATACTTTTGAGATATTTTTAATTTTTTTATCAAAATATTCTTATTATAATGGATACTTTGATCCTTTTTCAGAAATTGAAAGAAAATATATTATGCTTATAGAGTCATACCGAGTTTATGATTTATGTTATATTCATCCAAAAATAGAATAGGTGAAATTATATTATATTATGATCCCACTTTATAACTTAAAATTCATAATTCAATTGCAAGTGTAAGTAGGTGGACGTAGGAAATAGAAAATATAGGATTTTATGATGAATTTATGATAATTTTATATAAAAATTAATATATTTTTAATATATTATGTTAATAAATAATATAACTTTTTTAAAATAATTTAATATTATTTTTATATAAAAATTAATATATTTTAAATATATTCTATAATTGAGTGTAACTTAAGTGTAATGATTTTTAAGATAAACTGTGAGAGGGAGAGAGCAATGGTGGAAGGGTAAAAAAAAAAAAAAAGATAAAAGAGGAGGTAGAGGGGGAGTTGAAGGAAGAGGACGGGGAGGAGGATAAGATTAAGATGATGGAGGTGAAGATGAAATTAATAAACCAAATTAATAAAAAATAAATCAAGAATTGTGATAAGAAAGAGGTGGAGGACCCATTCTAGTTTGTGGTGCTGAGGATGATTCTCTTGCGCCTAATAAATATACTGTATATTGATTAGCTTTATTGCTTCAAAACTCATGCGCCTACATAATTTTATTTTTTTTTATATTTTTAAAAAAATTAATTTCAACTAAGATATTCTCTCAAATAAATCTTATTACTACTTTAAATCTTTTTTATCTTTTAATTATTTATTTTGATTACAATTGAATGAATTGTACATATGTTCATATTAGCTATGTATGATTTTATTGTTTCATATGTATTTTCAATATTTTTCTAAATTTTTATCAGAATATTTTTATTATACTTTAGTATCGATAGGATATTTTGATATTTTTAAAAAAATATCAAAATATGTTATGCTTGTAGAGCTTTAAGATTTGTGTTATATCCATCCAAAAATATGTGTAATTATATAATGATATGATCCCATTATACCATCTATAATTTAAAATTTATAGTTCAATTTGAAATGTAAGTAGGTCAACATAGGAAACTGGAAATGTAGGATTTTATGATTAGTTTTATAATAAATTTAGGATAATTTTATATAAAAATTAATATATACTTTAATATTATGTTAATGAATATAATAATATTATTATTTTTATAATTTAAGATAATTTTATATTAAAAAAACTATATTTTTAATATATTTTATAAAAATGAGTGTAACTTTAAGTGAAAGGAGGAGGATAAGGGAAAGGCACGAGGGGAGGGGAAAAGGGCTACAACAATAGATGAGGCAAGGTCATGGTGCGGGCAAGGCCGATTACAATAGTTGTGATGAGGCAATGGGGGTGTTGCGATACAGGAGAAGCCGAGAAAAGGAAGAAGAGAGTGTATGATGTGAAGAGGAGGAGAAAGAGAGAAATATACCGATGATTTATTGCCGCCATTCATTATTTGTCATTTGCAATTATGAATCTATCATTTGTCAATGAAAACAAAGTCAAAAGCCACTAGAGATTAGAGATTGGGTGCTTATGAAAATATCATAAAATAAGGATTGATGGGGGACATTCCAAAAATTTAAAAATTAAAACAATTAGGAACTTTTTAGATATTAGTTACTAATTCATGATCTAGTATATAAAGAATAAAAACTTAATTATGAATTCTACAAGAATTTTTAAGAAAGCGTTTCAAGTCAAGAGCCAAAAGGATGAACAAGAGTTGGATAAAGGACAAATCGCGACAAAAGAAATTGATTTATAGAGTAAGAAAATAATATTTTTTATGGACCTTAGGGTCATTAGAAGAAGTTATTGTTATTAAATAAAAAGATATTTCATTTGATTCAATTGAATAAAATGATTCTTAATTGAATCATAATTGATTCATCAAGATTATCTCAGTCTAATTTGTCGATTATTTACGTAATCAAGATTCACCAAGTCTGATATGCTTGTTGATGCATTTGGGCTTGGGAAGATTAGTCAGCAAGGATTAGTATTCACTCCTAACTTTTCCATAAGGGCATGTGAAATAGAGGCAGATCGAACAGCTTCCGTAGAGACTTCAATAAATCATTTGTGGATAGGTGAAAAAAATACCTTACCACTATTAGTGATGAGTGCCTTTCATTCTTGATCACTCGCACCATTCTGTGTTCATAGGAAACAGCACGACTGCTCGTTGGCTCCTTGGCGATGGATTTGGGTCGTTCCTAAGATGCAGCTCCCGATAGAACATTATCCTTAATCACGATTCTTCTTTTTCTCCTTTTGAACATTGAAAAGATTTTTTTTTTTTTCGAAAAGGAAAAGCCATAGATCTTTATTCACGAAAGGAAACTACGCTCCATTCTCAGACCCTCAGCGGGGAAAGGATGATGGGGATTAGTGGTTGTGCTCTTCTCCATGTAATATATTTCTCGACCTGTAAGTCTTCCTCTTCAACCTGTAGGTTGCAAATCTGTTTATGAACAGATATAAGAGGTCGACACTTACTCTTCATAATTATTTTAGTGTTTGTTTTTACAAATAATACATATACAATCGATTGTATGAATCTTTTTTTTTCGATTTTGTGCTTTATAAAAAAAATGAGAGTTAAATAAAAAAAAACTATGGATCAATTCAATCAACCTGAACAATAATATCTGCATACCCAACTACTTTAAAATGTCAATATGACACAGCGATTGATTGAAGAGAAGCCTCTCTCTCTCTCTCTCTCTCTCAAAGATTTTATTATCGAATTAACGAAACTAATACTCTACATAATGTTATTACTTCTGCATTTCAGCTCTGTACAAAAAGAAAATACCTCTGATTCATAAAAACAAGTATTAGAAAAAAGTATAGAATAGACATTCTTCGATCTATCCTGAGTGATCAACTTTCTGTTTCTTTTTCTTACAATTCACAAAATATATAAACATTAATTATGTGTTTCTGACACACCAAATTGTGCCACCATGCATTAGGGAACTTATCAACTCAATTCCCAGCCTCAATGATATTGGTGAAGAAGTAAAACTTAAAGCAAGAGTCTGCCGTTGCAGAGGTGAACATTTATCGAGCAAGAATACAAACAAAAAATACAGTAGTTTGAACTGTATCAAATTAGATATATAGCCAAACCTCTAGTGAGTTCACATTTACCTCTATCTGGTAAGCACCAGAAAACAAACACCTGTGCCCTAGCTCAGCAAGCAACCCAGCAATCAGGATTCCGAAATAGCAATGCTACATTGGAGAGAGATGCCACCGAGCATAGTTTTAATCTCTTAAACAATTTTGGGTGGCTGCGGTTCAACCTCGTGCGCTAGTTTCATGCTTCCATCTAATCTTTTCTCTGCTCAAGCTATAATCAGAGCACTCCGCACAAAGAAACCTGAGATGCAGAATACTGGACCTGTAAAACTTACAGATAGCAAGGTCATATTAACACATTTGGTGTATCGGTTGTAAAGTAACACCATTGTGTCATATAAGCAACAAGTTCAAATGCTTATTGGGCATCATTACTCTGATTGTTTGGAATATGGTGCAATCACTACTTCAGGAATCGTGTCACTGTTTAAGTTTCTAAATGACGTCTTTTACCTTGACTAGTAAAACACTGTACATGATCAATAGACAAGCTCACTCCTGACAGTACTACTGTACTCACTTTGAAGTGGTCTCATTCTAGTTACAAATGTTTGTTGAGCTGTTTTGAACATGGTCAGGTGGTTTGCAAGGATTGCGTTTGCAGAATAATTTCTTTGTGATTCAGACCACAAGACCAAGTACCTTATCAGTAGAGATAAGATATCATGGAATTTCTATGAAATGTACTTAAGATTAAACCCCATTGACATGTTTATAACATTAGTTTTTCAGTATCAAAGCTTCTGATGACTTCTGCTAGGTGAACACCAGAGGAATACTGTTTATACTTTCTGATTCATGTTAATTATAGGAACACCAAATAAAGGACTGAGAACATAGGTATTTCACATTACCTTTAGACTGCACTCAGTCAAATATCCAAAAGATGTCTCCATAAGATATAACTTTCGCTTCTCATGCAACTGGAATCTTTGGCTCTCCAAGATTTACAAAAGCCTCAGCACGAACCATACGTGTTGTGGCTGAATGCCAGGAGATAAGATGGTCCATGAAGTTATTAACATATTTGCTCACGTCATCCTGCTCAAAGAAATTATTCAGAAATAAAAGATCGTTGTAAAAGAAGTAAGATTAAACTAATTTGATCTTTCTGCAACTTTCCATATGCAATGATACTAAAAATTACTTTTCAGACAAGATAAGAAATGTCTTGGATTCAATGATCACTGTTAGCAGAAAATATCTAGAATACCTTGTAGTCCAAGTAATATGCATGCTGCCATAATTCAAAAGCAAAGGAGGAAGATCATTAGTCTTGCAGCATCATGTTTAATGAGATGATATATGTATTCAGCTTACTTACCTCCCACATGTCCAGGCTGATGATTGGCTGTGAAGAAACCAGGAATAATGTCATTAAAACATCAAAATATGTCACAGGAACTGAAGTACGTTGAAGCTTAACATACAATATCACCCCAAACAAGTGGACAAAGTGCATTTGATGTTCTAACTATCAAAAGTCTTCTTTCATTGGTTTTCACTGCAAACAAGAGAAATTCAATCAACATGTCGTTCAAGCCATAACAGATGAAATATGATTCTCATTTACATAAAAGAAAAAAAAATTCCACCCAGCCAATCCAAATTGAATGATAGATTTACAGCAACAAACTTCTACTGAGAGCACTTCGAATTTATGAAAATGGTCTTTTTTCTGTCATCTGTTCTAAGGATGCTACAGCATAGAGACTGTGCCAAATGAGAACCCAAAACTTACTCCCTCTAACACTTCCCCGCCTCACCTACATTATAATGTGAAGAGACAACACAGTGGACCAGAAGCTCCCGTGCTTCTCATTAATCATCATTGATAGTTAAGTAGCAACAAGAGGGACAAAGGAGGGATACAATCAATCAGGTTATTAAGTATTGTTTATCCCAAAAGAACTGTTAAGGATGATACTAGTGGAACTTCTATTGAGAATCATTATTTTTCCTTAATGGCTGCCCAATTTTATGTTTTAAGCATCTTTTCAAAAGAAAAGAATTGATGCGAACAACAAATAAGCTTTCACATGAAAACTAGCAACTAAAAAGGATCCTGCACAAAACTGAGATGAATGTATTAATGTAATGAAGAAAACTTATGGTCCAAACAATTTTAACTCACAGACAAGCCACACCCAGCCAGATCCGAAAAGCATCATAGCTGAATGTACAAATTCATCTCGGAAGTTAGAGAATGAACCAAAGTCCTTTTCAATCTGGTCAAGCACACCTCCCCATGGCAACCTTCCACCATTAGGTTGCATTGATTCCCAGAAGAAATCATGGTTCCAAACCTGTACATTATCACATACAAGATTATGATTGAAGTATTTGTGAACTATGCTCGATTTTCAGAATATATTCAATTTGGTAAAACCAAAGTGATTCATCTAGATGTTGAGTTGGTTCCAGTCATGATTCCATACATGCAAATTTTCAAATTTAATGTTACTATCAGACCGTCTATGGGAAACAGATATGATTTAGAACTGATGTAACCCGATAAAAGGTATGAAAACAAAGAGCACTAGTTGGAACAGCTAAAAACCACTTTATCAACTATGAGCAGCAATAAATATGACCATGACCAAATACTCAAGAAAATGTATAGAGGAGGTCATTTGAAGACGACAACTTAATGAAATGAAATAGAAAATATTTGTTGATATTTCATAAGAATCTAAAATTTAAAACATGGAAATAATTACCTCGGCAGCATTATTATATTCTGGTAATGGGTTGCCATTGTTGAATGTGGTTTTGATAAGCTCCTCCATTGTGCAACCATACAATGGGCTGTTAGCAAGCTGCTTATTCAAGCTATCTGAATAACCTCGATGAATATTGCCCCAGTGCAGTTCCAGCGTCCTCCTGCTCATGTATGGTTCCAATGCATCCTACGATGTAAGCAAGGCAGGTTAACTTTAGAAATAAAAATCTAAATACTGAGTTACAGTACATGTTCCAAGAAGTCAGATTAATAAGCAACCAACACCATAGTCCCACTTACTAGTTTATACGGAGGGTTTGTTAGGCCATAGTATGCCAGAACCTTTGTAACGTTTCGGAACTGATATATCTGTTTCTTATGCTGCAACAATCAAGAAAAGGTCATGCAACGTGCCAAAACATGGAAGCTCACGGAAAATAGCATCTACTAAAAAGATTTTGCAGCAATTTTCATTTTTTTCCCAAGATAAATATACTTA